CCATGGATTCGGAAGCCACAGATGCAGACGGCCGGCTGTACTTGACTCAATAGTGTCTGGTGTGTCTTCGTTCAGTAGCATAGGTTGAACTGACCACCACTTCCAGTTCCTCCTGCACACACTTCTCAGGCTGCTTACACCGTGTTGTCAGCCTGTTTTGGAAGAGCAGACTTCATGTTTTAAACTGGAGTGCGCTCATAGAGCAGTAGTAAAGGTGAGGAGACTCAAAAGCGCGTCACGGGAGGAAAAGGTAGAGCTGGAAGAGAGAAGACTTGAAAACTTGGAAAGAGCCGGTGCTTGCGCTCTGGTGTCTGAAGGTCTGCTGAGGAAAAGGCGAAGGCAGTCTGAGGCAGACCTGAAGCTGCCGATAGAATTCCACAGAAGTTCACCTTCGCATAGCAAAGGACCTGTTGTGATCTCCGTCCAAAAGTAGGTTGAGCTGTTTCATAAGGTAGTGAACGCCCTGTTTCTAGTGGTTTTTCAGGCAAGTTTTAAGAAACTGCTTGTCATAAATATCCTAAAAGAACTGTGTGGGTAGAGGTCGGACTAAACCCCAAGGGGTTCCTTGAAAGGACTTGGGCATTATGCATATAAGCAAAGTTGAGTGTTCTCTAACTTTATCATCTGTTGACTTGAAAATGTGCACAGACTGTGGAATTGCCCTAGTTTTTATTGCTCTGAAGTTTGGGGTTCCTGTGAACGCAGAGTCCCACGTTTGGGAGCATGAATAAGAGCTAACTCTGGCCCACCTGTGCAGGGAGGCTTTGGTCCTGTCCTTTGGGCCGGGGCAGCAGGGATCAGCTCTGTGGGTACTGTTTGCTCCAAACTAGAGAACGGGAGGTTGGAGAAGCGTTGCACTTCTGTTCCATTATTTTTTTTGTCTCTAACTTCAAGTTTCTGGTTTTGCCTCTTCAGTAAGCAACAAATTAACAGAAGGTGGCACTGCAGTTCTGGAAAAAGTCAGACCAGAAGTGACAGTCCTGGGGCCAGCACCTCACTCCAGCAAAGGAGAGCCTGGTGGCTGAAGTGCTTCCTCCCCTTGTTTACCTTTGGCACCCGAACATCCCTTTTGCCACTCTCTTTTGTCCATTTTTACCTCTGTTGCCCTGGTCAGTTTCCCTTGTTTATTTTTTTCTCCACTCCTACAGTTCCTGTGGATGAAGCTGTTTCCACTTACTCACTGTCCCTGACACACCCTTCCTTTGAAACAAACATGGGGGTTGACGGCCTGGAGCAAGAAAGATGGAGCAGCCTATTGCCAGCTAACTGGGAGGGATGGGAACACCGGCCTCCCTGAGGTGCTGCGGTCCACACTCAGATCTAGGAAAAGAATCTTCCCAGCCCAGGAGCGTACATCTGTAAAAACAAAGTTGCGTCTTCTGGGTCAAAGAGGTGGCATCAGGTGGGGGTTGGAGAGAATTGTTCTGACATTTTTTTTTAAAGGCGTGTATAAACTCAGTAAAAGTAAAAGAAAACGTTTTTTAAATTCTGAGATCCCTAAAGTAGTACTAAAAAGTGAAGTTCAGACACAACTTCGAGCCAGTCTGGTGGACTCATGGTTGGAAGACCTGGGTTGTGCCCTGGCCTGGCTTTCCTCTGGCTGTGGAACCATAGGCGTATAACTTAAGCTTCACTCGGCTCCAACTGGGAAGTCAGGGCCATGAGACCTGCTTTAAGGTGATCGTGATTGCAGTGTGAGAGGATGTGCATGAAGGTGCTTTTGGCATAACACAAAGCACTTTTAGCAGTGCTTGGCCTTTTCAGTGTCACTAAGTCTGATTATACCCTCATCCTATAGGTCAGAAGGTGCCTGTAGGTCGGCTCACTGCCCTTTGTCTCCATAGTTTTTCACAGACCTCCAGGACCAAAAGAAATGCCTAAGGAGGCTGAGTGTTGAGGCTCACTCCTGTAATCCCAGCACTTTGGGATGCCCAAGGCAGGAGAATTGCTTGAGCACAGGAGTTTGAGACCAGCCTAGACAACAAGGTGAAACCTGTGTCTACAAAAACTACAAGTGTTAACCAGGCATTGTGGTGTGTGCCTGTAGTCCCAGCTACTCGGGAGGCTGAGGTGGGAGGATCATGAGCCTGGGAGGCGGAGGTGGCTGTGAGCCGAGATCCGAGCCAGTGCACTGCAGCCTGGACCACAGATCAAGACTCTGTCTGCAAAAAGGAAACAAAAAGAAATGTCTATGTGTACCAATGGATGAATGAAAACAAGAGAAGTGCCTAATGAATAGTTCTGTCTCTTAGGTCATTAGCTTCAGATAATAAGTATTACTGTCCTCAATTTAGTAGCTGCTTGAAAAAATAATATGCGTAAGTTTGTGTGGTACGTGACATGTGGAATAAGGCTGTGTTTCCTGTGACAGTCTTGTTAAATATCCTGTGGCAGCTTTGTGAGTTTGCTGCGTTACCCCAGGTGCCTTGGTGCACAGTTTGGGGACTGCGGCAGTAGATTGTCTTAGAGTTCCAGAGTAGGGGCCTTGATAAGTCCTCACTTAGCCTCCCCTGGAGGCCTGGTCCAACTGGGTGAGTGGTTCTCTCCCTCAGTGGCTATTCATACCCACCCTGAAGAAGACCAGGTCTCCCAGTTGACTCGAGTTACTGACTCACAGTCTAGACGAGGATTTGTATTGGGCAGAGCTGACTTGGTAATTCCCTTACCCACTGTCCTCTCAATTCCTTCCCACCGTCCCTGCATTACTGCAGATCTTTTGAAGTACCAGAATCAAATATCTGAAAACTGCCTAAGGGGCTAATTTCCCAGGAATTTGTTGTTGACTGCTGATTATAGGAAGAACTTTTGAGGAGCCTGCCAACAATTGCATGCAGGCAGCACTGCAGGTTGAAATCTTATATTTTCTTTATTGAACACAGGCAGCTTCTGCAGGATCTCTGCAGAGCACAAGTGTTTCCCATTTGGGCTCCTGCTGTATTTGCTGCCCTTCCAGGACTCAGATCTGAAAGGAAGTTGCTATTGCTTTTCATAAACAAGCAGCATAGGATTGCATTCCTCCTGATATTGAAGGGTGTGTGGTGTGCTAGGAGATAGGACCCCCGAGTCCTTTTGCAGTATTGCAAACAGGTGGTTTGTTGATGCCTTGCTGGAGAGCCCTGAGAACTGAGAATTACTCTGCTGAACAGAAGAGCAAAGTTGATCTCTCAGGGGTTAAGTTTGGACTTTCTTTTTTTTTTACACACACGCTCACACTCACTCTCCCATACGCTCAAACAGAAAGCTGGACTTTTTTTTTTTTTTTTTACAAAATAAATTATTTTTTTGAGATGGAGTCTTGCTCTGTCGCTAGACTGGAGTGAAGTGGTGCGATCTTGGCTCACTGCAACCTCCACCTCCTGGGTTAAAGCAATTCTCCTGCCTCAGCCTCCCAAGTAGCTGGAATTATAGGGGTACACCACTACGCCCAGCTAATTTTTGTATGTTTAGTGGAGATGGGGTTTCACTGTGTTGGCCAGGATGGTCCCGATCTCTTGACCTCATGATTCGCCCACCTCAGCCTCCTAAAGTGCTGGGATTACAGGTGTGAGCCACCACTCCTGACCTAAAATGTTTCTAGATTGTGTTTATTTTTATTATTGTCAAATTATTGTAGCAAGATCAAGTATGTTGTGAAAGGAAAAAAAAAAATCACCTAATCCCGTTAATGCTAATCGTGCAACCATGTTTCTTCTTCTTTTATGTTTGCCTGTAATAACATGTTTTGTGTCCAACTTTGTCTCTGTCTATAAACATCTTCAGTGTTGCTATACTGTGTAATTATAATAGCAATGTGACACAAATGAACAGTTTAAAATGAACACTCATTCTCCAAAATCTATAAAAAGAAAAGAAGAAAAAAGATAAAGAAAAAATTGTTTAAATGAACACTTGCTGGGCGCGGTGGCTCACGCCTGTAATCCCAGCACTTTGGGAGGCTGAGGCAGGTGGATCACCTGAGGTCAGGAGTTTGAGACCAGCCTGACCAATATGGTGAAACCCTGTCTTTAAAAAATAAAAAATAAAAAAAAGAACACTAAAGAATTGTATATGAGTTGTATCTCAATAAAGCTGCTATGAGGAAAAACAAATTTTGTTTTTTTTTTTGAGACTGAGTCTTACTCTGTTGCCCAGGCTGGAGTGCAGTGGTGTGATCTTAGCTTACTGCAACCTCCCTCCTGGGTTCAAGCAATTCTCCTGCTTCAGGCTCCCCTGAAGCTGGGACTACAAGTGCAAACCACCATGCCTGTTTAATTTTTGTATTCTTTTAGTAGAGATGGGATTTCACCATGTTAACCAGGCTGGTCTCAGACTCCTGACCTCAAATGATTTGCCTGCCTCAGCCTCCCACAAGTGGTGGGATTACAGGCATGAGCCATGGCACCAGGCCAAATTTTTTAAAAAAATTTTAAATATTCCAGGCCGGGCACAGTAGCTCATGCCTGTAATCCCAGCACTTTGGGAGGCTGAGGCAGGTGGCTCACCTGAGGTCCAGAGTTTGAGACCAGCCTGACCAACATGGAGAAACCCCGTCTTTACTAAAAAAAATACAAAATTAGGTGGGCATGGTGGCACATGCCTGTAATCCCAGCTACTCAGGAGGCTGAGGCGGGAGAATCACTTGAACCCGGGAGGCAGAGGTTGCCATGAGCCGAGAGAGCGCCATTGCACTCCCTCCTAGGTAACGAGTGAAACTTCATCTCAAAAAAAAAAAAAATTTCGAAAGGGAGAAGATTTTTAAAAAATCCCTTGAGATCTACCAACTTTTGTTCTTCTGGTGACACCAGTCATTGGCACAGATTTTCACATCATTTATCTCATTCCCTTTTTATTTATTTCAATTTATTTATTTATTTTTAGAGACCGGGTTTCACTATGTTGGCCATGCTGGCCTCGAACTCCTGACTTGGTGATTGACCAGCCTCAGCCTTCCAAAGCGCTGGGATTACAGGCATGAGCCACTGTACCTGGCCCATTTACCTTATTCTTATATTTTCTTCAGCTATGTAGATTAAATCCAGAAATAAGCACATTACACTAGTAAAATTTGAATGGGTTTTTATAACTGAATGCTGTGTCTGCAGTTTCCCTCTAATGAAGTTCTTTGATGAGCAGGAAATGGGCCATGTTCTTTGCTTGGGTCAGAAGGAAATAACTCATCCTGTAAGCTCGTGTTCTTATTGGAAGTTCACGTGGCTGTTCATCCAGGAAGGTAGAAGAGCTGAGTAGAGTTCAGGATTTAGTAGCATTTTTTTCTGTGAGTCCCCGGGAAGTCTCTAGGCTAAGGATAGGGTGGTAGCCCCCATGGTTTATATGATTAAGCCTGCAGGACCAGCCCTTCTGAATAAGTTAACTCAGACATGACTCACTGGGGCACCATGGACTTTAGAGCTGTTTCCCCTGATCGTTACAGCTGAAAGGTAATAATTCTGGCTGCCTTCCCTTAAGTCCAGGGTGTTAATACCTGCTTCTCTCTGTGACCTGCTAGAGAATCATTCCTGGAGAGGTGTTTTTCCTTCTTGGTCTTTGTTATTGGCACACCCAGTGGCTGAACGAATAGCTTCCTACAAACCATTACCCTTTGTAGCCTCTTCGTCTAGAGGGAGAATGTGGGAAATTGGGAAGCTGAAGAATAACTGGGCTTTGGAGCCAAAGCTGCTTTATTGTGTTTTCTCTATGTTTACTTGTGTTCAAATGGAAATAATAATGTCTACCTCATAGGGTTATTTTGACACTTGAATTTGAATAGTGTAGGTTAACTTGTAGTGCTATGTTTAGGGTGTCATGGCAGGGGTGCTATGTGAGCAGGAGAGTATATGCTTGGTCCCTCCATCTTGATTTTATTAGCCCACTTGCCCCTCTGTTCTGTCTCCCATACCTTGTGATCTTTTGAATGCTAATTAGGAGGGGAAAAAATTACAGCATGACTCACCCAGGACCAGAGAAGGAAATGGCCCTTGACCATTGCTGGTTTGTGAGCCATCCACTCTGCTCTTGGAAGTTGTAATATGGGCCTTGAACTGTTGAGAGTGCCCAAGCCTCCCTAGCATTTGGCACTTCCCTGCACTCAGCACGCCGGATGGCCTTCTTTAGGTTTTTCCTCAACACCACTAGGGTTGCCTTGTACAGCTGGGAGACATGCAATTCTGAGAAGCTTGTGGAGTGACTGTGGTGGGGAGAACCTACCCCAGCCTGAGGTCTAGGGTTTTTAGGGGTCTAGGGGTCTGCTGGGTGGTGACCAGATCTGAGCAGGAGACAGAAAGACAGGCAGACAGGCCAGCCATGGAAGTCACTATTCGATTGTCCCAAGGGAAAGAAAGAAATCCAAGCCTGCTGTGGCTTCGTCCTGCCCCCTTCCAAAGAAGGTCTCACTACATCTTAAGCTGAACAGTGCTGGTAGAAATGCTGGTAGTTGTTGGAAGTTGTGATCTCATGGAAAGGGAACAATGACCATTATTCTCCCTCTGACCCCTCCTTAGCTCCATCGCACTGCGAGAGGGGCCTTTCTCATGGCAGTTGATCCGAGTAACCTGAAGCTGAGACTCCCAGAAGCTCCACCCAACTCCTGTGGTTCTGCAGCCCGCAGGGAGCCACCCCGTGTCTGGTCCGCCCTCCGTCAGTGTGCAAGCCCCAACATACCTCCTTCCCTTCAGGGCCAGATGCCATGAATTGCTAACCGAGGTGTGGCTGGGTCCCTCCTTCCCTATCTGGGACTCATCTTTTTGAAATTATATGATGCAGAGAACTGCCTGCCCTTAGGGTTCCAGCACTTCCAACCATCGTTCTGTATTTTAATCCATGTCTCCTGAAATGCTGCTGTGTGATTTCTGGGTTTGATAGGATTTTGCTAATTTGTATTCCTAACTTTGGAGGTAGGTAAATATTCTCTGGGCTGCACTTTAAAGATGCTGGCATTCTTTTTGGCCCTCTGAATAACTCAGTCCTCTTCCTACCAGTGTGTTGACGATGACCAGTTTGCATTTCTGCCGCCCTGGTTTTCAGGAACTGCAGGTATATTTGCCTGAGATGTTGCTATAACTCCACTCCTCAGCTTGTCAGCCAACCTCTCAGAAGGAATGTCTTTGGAATTTGGTAGCCATGTAGAGTTGTGTGCCTTGCAGATGTCACTTTGCCATTTTCAGCCTCACAAAGCTGTCTCTTTTGTCCTTGTCTGGCTCCAAGCTCCCCACAACCCCCCAAATATATCCACCTAAAGCACAAAGACACTGTTCTTGTGGGAAGCCTTGAAGGGAAAAAGCCTTTCCTGGCCCCATCACCAAGGGCTTGACTCAGATCCTTGGTGTGAGGCAACCTCTGGAGCTAGATATAGCTGCTCCTGACTCTGGGGATGAGACAGAAAGGGAATGGCCCTCTCTGACCATCTTCTATAACTTTCAAGAAACCAAAAATCTTCAAGTGTCTTGAATCAAATGTAAATTGCAGTTGGAATAATCAGATAACAAAAGTCTCCCCTTGGAAATGGCTACCTCCATGTAACAGAACATCAGGAGCTATGCTGAGCCACATGGGCCTTGTAAATGTTTAGCTGGATTTTTCAAATAGAGAAAGAAACTGTTTCCCTTCCCCTCTCTACCTTGTCTTCAGTCTACAAGGCCAATTCTAGAACTGGCTTAGTAAGTCTTGGCAAACTCCTGTTTCAACCATTCCTACAGAAACCCTCTGTGGTTGGGGCAGCAGAGCCTTCTCATCAGTAAGCGGCCTAAGAGCAAAGGCAATCCCAATGTGTCCCAAGGGGCCCCACCAACTTCCGCCCATTTTTCTGATAAATTGAGTGTTTCCATTCCCAGGCAGGCCATGTGTCCATGGCAGTGGCTCAATCCTGGCCAACAGGATACAAGTAAAGGAAATGTGCTGGCAACGGGCTTTCTCCAGTGGCAGTGGCTGGTGTCTGGCCCCTGGGGTGGGATGTTCCCACGCAGCATTGGGTTTGGAGGCTTTGCTGAGCTGCTGACAGCTCTCACTCCTAGCCCCAAACCATATCTCTGTCAAACCAACATCATTTCCTTCTGGAACTTGGTGGTATTTTATAAAGGTAACCCAGCATTGTTGCTTTCTTGGCGACCTGAAGTAACTCACATTGATCTCAGAAAACCTTGTTTTGACTGTTATATTGATGCCCCCAAGAGGGTTTCTGGAAGATGGCATATCAGTTGTTCTGAAGCAGCTGTACTGCCTGATGATTAAGAACGCGGTTTCATGGGACTCTTGTGAAAATTAAATGAGATTCTTTTTTTTTTTGGTTAATCAATGAGAGCTTGTAACGTTGCTCAGGTTGGCCTTGAACTCATGGCCTCGCCTCCTCAAGCACCAGGACATCTGGCCAGGGCCACTGCAGCCCCCTATATGAGATTCTTAATTGAAGAGCTTAGCATAATACCTAAACTTATTCCCCTAGATTGAGTTTTCATTTTTTTTTTTTTTTTAAGAGACTGGTTTTCACCAAGTTGACCAGGATGGTCTCGATCTCTTGACCTTGTGATCTACCTGCCTCGGCCTCCCAAAGTGCTGGGATTACAGGCATGAGCCACCGCGCCCGGCCAAGCTTTCATATTTTAACCCCAGTGCTTGGTGCATTGCTTGGTGTATAATACATGCTCAATAAATTATCCGTGGGAAAAAAATAAATGAATTAACTGTACAGGAATTCTTTTTGTCTTAGGATTTAGGAGCATTAGGCCCAGTGTTCAGAAAGAAGATGCAGGGCCGGACGTGGTGGCTCATGCCTGTAATCCCAGCACTTTGGGATGCTGTGGCAGGAGGACTGCTTGAGCCCAGGAGTTCAAGACCAGCCTGGGCAACATAGTGAGACCCCATCTCTATGAAAAATTTAAAAATTAGCCAGGCATGATGGTACATGCCTGTAATCTCAGCTACTTGGGAGGCTGAAGCAGGAGAATTGCTTGAGCCAAGAAGGTCAAGGCTGCAGTGAGCTATGATTGTGCCAGTGTACTCCAGCCTCTTGACGGAGTGAGACCCTGTCTAAAAAAAAAAAAAAAAAAGATGATACAGGAAGACAAGCAAAGAATTGGGTTTGAAATTTTTTTGTAGTTCAGTATTGGTGTCCCTTCCCCATCTTCTCCTGCCCCCTGGCAGCCTTTTAATGCATCCTAGCCCTTTCATTAGCTGCTCTTCTGCTGCCTGTCCGTCTGACGTTTCCAGTGAATCTACACACGAAACTAAATGTGGAGTTGAGCAGGCTTGGAGTCTGAAGTTAAAACCTAACAGCTAAAGGTAGGTGTGGAACCTAAACTGAACTGAAGAAAAACTGATAGTGGTTGATATGTATATGTGTGTGTGTGAGAGAGATCAGTGCTTGAGCACCTGCTGTGGGCCAGGCTGTTACAGGTGGTGATTTTTGTGGTACTCAGAGTAAGGTAGTTTGTCCTCATTGGCCAGGTGGTCATGAGGGTGGAGGAAGACTTCCTTGGGCTGGGCCTGAGGTCTGCAAAGGGCTTTCTAGGCAGGAGTGGGGAGAAGGTGATTTCAGGGGACAGGCGTTGCAAAGATCCTAGGTGCAGAAAGGGGAGGAAGAGGCTGAAATGGCCGCAGGGAATCCTGAGGGCTCATGGATCACAGTGAGGATCTGTTTTTAAGGAGCTACTGGGCTCATGAAGTGAGATCTCATCAGGCTATGGGCTGTCCCAGGTCTGAGAGAATAAAGGTTTGGAAGGAGTCATTTTACTAATCTGCCTCCCCAGCTGCCACCTACTTGTAAGATGCAAGATTACATTGTCCAGCAGAAAACCCCCAGTCTGTAGCATTCTCACCCATGGCCTCGGGGCTGGCTGCCCTGTGCCCTGTTCAGAGTGCTTTCTCTGTGCCTGCTGGTCCCCAAGCTGGAAAGAAAACGTGACATTTGGATTTGGCGGGATTTAAATGTGGCGGCTCCCTTGTGGGACTCAAGTTTGACACTGGAGCTTTGTGTGTGCTTTGCGGGACCAGTTCCAGGAAGGATTGAGGGAGCATTGTTGGCTGTAAATAAACCTCCACTCTCTTACTCAGGACTTGGTGCTTCTCTGCTGAGTAAATCCTCCCAGATCAAATGGCAGCTTGTCTAGTTTCATGAGTCTATATTGTTTTTACTTCCTTCCTGTACTCCAGGCAGCTCCATCCCTGGCTGGACTTTTGTATTCCCTGCAGGAGGAACCATATTCCAGGTTCTGTAGTTCCTAAGAATCAGGTCCCTGCCACTGACCTACAGTCGTGGCTATTGCATCTTCCAGGTCTCAGTCACAGTTGGTTAAGAAACCAAACTGGCAGGTTGAGAGCACTGTTCTCCAGGGACAGCCCCCAGCCTGCCACAGCCACCTCCTGCTCTGATTGTTGGGCCTTTAGTCTCAGGTGGAGTCTAGATGGATTAGGGGTATAGGCAGAGGAGGAGGCCTCAGCCCAGATTGGTCTCCTCCACCAGCTCGGCGTTTGAACCATTCTTCCTCTTTCCTCCCTTCTCTGTTTCCTTTTTTTTTTTTTTTTTTTTGAGACAGAGTTTTGCTCTTGTTACCCAGGCTGGAGTGCAATGGCACAATCTCGGCTCACCGCAACCTCCGCCTCCTGGGTTCAGGCAGTTCTCCTGCCTCAGCCTCCTGAGTAGCTGGGATTACAGGCACGTGCCACCATGCCCAGCTAATTTTTTGTATTTTTAGTAGAGACGGGGTTTCACCATGTTGACCAGGATGGTCTCAATCTCTTGACCTCGTGATCCACCCGCCTCCGCCTCCCAAAGTGCTTGACTTTTGTTTTTCTCTTTTTGTTTTCACTTGTGTCTTTTAGTTGTCGTTGTTGAGACAGAATCTTGCTCTTTCAGGCTGGAGTGCAGTGGCGCAATCTCGGCTCACTGCAACCTCTGCCTCTCAAGTAGCTGGGATTACAGGCATGTACCACCATGCCCGGCTAATTTTTGTATTTTTTAGTAGAGACAAGGTTTCGCCATGTTGTCCAGGCTGGTACCAAACTACTGGCCTCAAGTGATCTGCCCGCCTTGGCCTCCCAGAGTGCCTGGCCTGTTTTTCCTTGTGTCTTGATTGGACTTGAATGAGGGAGTTGAAGAGGTGGCTCTATTCTCTTCTCCCAGGAGCAGCTTTCCTTTCCTAGGCGAGGCACTTTGTTTTCACCTTCCTAGGACCTGGGTGAAAACCCCTCAGCCTGTTCTCGCTGTCTGTGCTCATGTCTCTGGGCTGCGGGTTCCACGCCCTCTGGCAAATTAGACAGATGCCTGGTGAGTAGACATCCAGGATGAGTTCATTACTTTGACCAACTGAGAATTTCTACCTGGAGGCCAGTAGGTGGGTTCATACGAGTCAAGACAGGTGTTTCCTGTGCATTTCAAAACACTGCTGGCGGGGGGGAAAGGAACAGTGCTTTCTTGTTGATTTTTACTTGTATCCTCATAACCTTCTTCCCGCTTCCTGCCTCTGTGAGGGCATAGTGAGAATCTCCCCCTCCAGCAGGTGTTATAACACCAGTGCCTTGAACAACTGACAGTTTAAAATAATTGAACCTTTCTTCTGTCTCCTTAGTTCTACCATTTAAAACGTTTCAATGGGAGGGAAGTGAAGGTTGAAAAATTACCTACTGCGTACAATGTTCACTTTTTGGTAACGGGTATACTAGGAGCCCAAACCTTACCATCAATTACACAATATATCCATGTAACAGACCTACACATATACTGCTGAATCTAAAATAAAATAACAATTTTTTAAAAAAATTATAAAATCAATCCTTCATCACATGTTTTTTTCTGACACGTGGCTTGCTTCCATGATAACTGTCATGGGTGCTTGGTTTCTTTTCTTTTCTTTTTTTTTTTTTTTTCTGAAACAGAGTCTCACTCTGTCACCTAGGCTGGAGTGCAGCAGCGTGATCTTGGTTCACTACAATCTCCACCTCCAGGGTTCAAGCGATTCTCCTGCCTCGGCCTTCCAAGTAGCTAGGACTACAGGCAAGCTCCACCACGCCCGGCTAAGTTTTGTATTTTTAGTAGAGACGGGGTTTCACCATGTTGGTCAAGCTGGTCTTGAAGTCCTGACCTCATGATCCGCCTGCCTTGGCCTCCCAAAGTACTGGGATTACAGGCTTGAGCCACGGTGCCCGGCCTCATTTTTGCTACTGAATGCCTGGTATCTGAGACATGACTGGTAAGAAGGTGTCTCTTTAGGCCTGTCCTCCCTGTGGTGGAGGTCGTTATAGACGAATATGGTCACTATTTGAATAGAGCTGCTTTCACTGGATGAAACTTGATTCAGTGGATGGTGGTATGTAAATGGTACTAAAAGGCAGCTCTGAGGTATTCCAGGTTCTCCCTGTGTCACCCAGGCTGGAGTGCAGTGGCATGATCATAGTTCACTGTAGCGTTGACCTCCTGGGCTCCAGTGGTCTTCCTGTCTCAGCCTCCCAAGTAGCTGGGACTATAGGCTGGTCTCAAATTCCTGGGCTCAAGCAGTCTGGCCTCCCTCTTGAGGAGGGGATTACAGGCGTGAGCCACCATGCCTGGCCAAGTGGGCACTTTAGGATCCAGAGAACTTAGGTTGTAGTCTTTCTTCTTCCGGAGAAGCTTGGCACAGTGACAGAGGCGCCCAGGGCTCAGCAAGCTCACGGCCCAGCTTGTTGGACTCAGAGGGCAGAAGAATCACATTCTAAACGTGACAAGGTATAGCCGCAGGAGGCAGATTCCCAGCTTGATTCTCCAGAGCCTTCTAGGTCCGAAGGGTGACTGTGACACCAATGGGAATCTGAACCAACACAGATTCCAGCGTCTTCTTAGGAGACCTTAGCGCAGCTCTGGCCACTTCCTGAGTGTGCATGTGGCTTCCGAGCTGTCCAGGCTACTTCATGCGTTTGGTTTAACAGGTTCTCGTAAGGCAGAAGAATCTTCTTGAACTTGTAGTTGGGTCCATAGTCCGTTGGTCAGTACTTTGTTCAGAGGCACTGAGGGTGGATGGCCTGTGGAGCTGGATTCTGCTGCTGGGAAATTGGGTGGGCCTTGTTTCTGGGCCTCAAGTTGGGGACTGAATTAGAGTCCTAGCGTTGTGAGCTTAGGGTATGCTCTGGGCATGCCACACACTTTTGTTGTAGTAAGAGGATAGAAAAGCAAAGACCAGACTAATTGTTAAATTGAAACCCAACTACCCAGTATATTTATGTCTTAGGCATAGAAGGAATAATTGGGGGTGTGGACTGGAGAACAGAGCTAAACGGAAAGACTAAAAGGCATAAAATACTTCCTGTGATTTTGCCCCATCATCTCTTTTCTTCCAGAGACGTGACTCAACAACCTCAGCTGGGCCTGGCAGCACACATACCCCACACACCTTTCCATCTCCAGGGTCACAAAAGCCACAAGAAGCCACTGGGAGGCTCCTAGCCTCTTACATTACCTAAGGAGCCCCTGAAGTGGCAAGTGTGTTTCCCTTTGAAGAGCCATTGTGTGTTCGGTGACACTTCCTGTGGCTTTGGGGTAGATGTGGTAGACTCCCTGTGTGGGGATTGGGCTTCTGCAGTGAGTCCATGAGAAGGGGTGGGCATGGTGTGGTGTGGAACCTTGGGGAAGGGTGAGTGGGGGCTGGAGGAAGAGTTAATGAATGGACAGTCCCGTATGATCAGCCAGCTGGCAGCGGGGAGGTAGGAGCTGATGTTTTCCCATAATCAGCACCCAAAAAGCTGTTCCCTAGGGGGAAATTTAAGGACATTTCACAGCCCCATGTTTTGTTACTGACACTCTGGAACATTGGTTTCTTCAGAGTCACTGCTACAAAGGCATTGTTGTTGGTCCCCTGAGAGACTGGCAGTCTCTGTAGAGCCGCTGATTTATGACTACAACCTGAAGTTGGTGTGGCAGTCCTCCAGGCGCGCCTCCCTGCCCGCTCCCAGCCTCCTCTTTGCCCACCTGATTGGCAGGGAGCAGTGGCCCAAAGAGACGGTTACTAAGCAGCCTGGCCCGGATGTGGTGCCCCGCCAGGTTGAAAGAATAGCTGCAGTGTTCACAGGAATGGGGAATTTGGCCTGTCCCGGCATCAAGAGGGACTTTTTGGGAAGGGGTCTAAGACTGAGTCTAGGCTCGGGGTAGGGAACTGGGTGGCCTCCCTGGCATCCTCCTTTTGAGCCGTGGCGTGGTGTGCCATATCTTTGTGTAAGTGGAGTCTGCGGAGCTCTGCACCTGTCCCCAAGAAGGTCTTGTGCAGGGTGCTTCCTGTCTCTCCTGCCTCACTGATCAGAGGGAAAGGACCTGGTTTCCCACAACTTTCTGTGAACTCTGCTTCTGCTCTTCTGATCATTAGCAAATGTGGCCTTTGACGTTGTTGTTGTAACTGGGTTTGAGGGGCTTGGTGTCAGCAACCCAGAAATGGGGGAAACAGGTGTGTTCTTGCCATTTTACACTTGGGACAATAGAGGCAAGGGAAGACGTGTGACTCGGGGCTTGGACCATGGCCTTCTCAGCATTGAGTTTGGTTTAGATGAAACATTTACTATGGAGTAGTGAAATCCAGAAAACGTCTAGCCTTTGTTCTCCGGTTTCTGCAGGACATGTGAACGTGACTGTCATGGGACAGTGTTTGCATTCAGGATTGGAGGAAGCTTTTCTTTGAAGGGAGTGTAAAGCCATGTAAAGAGAGCTGAGAGCCAGAGAGAGGCTGCCTTGAGCCCAGAACCTCTCTGGAAACCGTGTTCTGTCACTCTTTGAAGGTTCACTACATGCTTGCTCTGAGGTTCCATAAGCTGCCCCTTTATCCTCATGATAAAGCTTCCCTTTTTTGAACCAAAAACAAGAAAAGTCTCTTGGGAGCAGCTAGTCTGCATTTTCATCTCAGGAGTCTGCTGTTACAAAGCAGTCACCTCTTGCTTCCTTGGTACCAGTGGTAGAGGCAGTGGTGTCTGGGCTAGCTGGGGCCTTGAGCTCTGCACTCCATTCAGGCACGCTTCCTTGGACCCAGGAGAGCGCAACAGGCAGGGCATACGTTGTCCAGGTGGCCGAGGCAGGCTTTCTAGCGTGTGTTCTCAGTGTTGGGTTTGGTCACTGAAGAGGCGTGGAGGAGAGACCAGCGTGGTACTCTGGAGCATCCGGCTGCTTCGATGCGGAAAGAAGAGGGTTCAGAGGCTCGGGGGTGCCAGAGGCCCCTGAGGCATCAGCTTACCCTTAGTGTTCCCGGCAGTGCTTTTACCTTTTCTCCATCCTTAAGAACCCTGAGTGGTCTCAGCGGAGAATAGCTGGCTCAGGAGCCCCAGTCTTACCTCCTTGTATTTGTTTATCTTTTGCAGGATAATACAGAAGCAGAAAAGCGAGACCCCCAGGAACTCGTGGGTGAGTATTGGGGGAGTAGGGGGTAGGAGGCGCGTTTCTCAGCCTTGCCCCTAGCAGCCTGGCTTCTGACCATGCCAGGCCTGCCACTTCACAGGGCTTCTGTCTGCTATGAACACCACAGTCCCTTCGGCTCCCTCTCAAGGCCTTTGGCATTTCCTAGGATACCCCGGGTGAGACGCCCAAGGAACAGTTCTTCTTTGGAAATCGTATTCACGGTGGCATTTTATTGGGTTTGGTCAGTTGCCAGCGTTGTCAAGAGGGAATTCAGGGCCCCTTCAGCTGGGAGCGTGTTTTGGTCTCTGCTTCCCTCAGTGCCCGAGGCCTGTCCTCTGTCTTTGCCCCCCCTCCTCCCCCTCTCTGCTGGCATCTGCATGTGGCTCAGGGAGTCAGCATGTGGCCTCTGCTGGCACTTTGCTTTGTCCCCAGGCAGGAACATGCCTCAGCCCTGGAGTCTGGGGCTCTTTGTGACTTGGGAGAGCAGGGACACTCTGTTTCTGGAAAACAGCACACATTATCAAGTCCTGTGCTAGCCCCAGCCTTTTAATCCTTTTAGAAAACCCCCCAGCTCCTTTCACAGGGCTCCCAAAGCCCAACCCAAGGGGAGTTCCCAGTATCTGAATCCAGAGCCCTTGGTGGGGTTGGCCCTCCCTCTCTATGGCAGCCATTACCAGCTCCCCTGCCCATCCCGCTGATCTTCACAAACAGGCTCTTGCCTTCTGCGGTCTTGTCGAGGTGGCTTACTGGCTCCAGCCCTGGAGGTTCAGAGCCCAGGGACCACCTGGAAGTGCTGCTCCAGCACTCAGTCCCTCCCACCCAGGCTTTCTCCCAGTAGGACCTCTCTGCTGGGAGTTGTACTCCGGAGCCTGTTCTCCTTTTCCTGAACTAAAGGAGCTGGGAATCGTTCATTCTGTTTGTTTTTTGAAGACGGATTGGGTGGGAACATGATAACGCTGAGCAGCCCAGACCCTCAGCAGGAGGGCCTTAATCCCTGAGTTCTCTGATGGAGCTTGAGTCTTTCAAATCCTATAAAAATCAGGATTTTCCTAAAACCTAGAGTTTGCTCTTTATTATAAGTGGTGTCTAGGGGTGCAACATTTGGCTTTGAGGGCAGAGGAAGCAGAGTGTGCATCTGCTGGGAAGCCGACGGCCTGCCCTAAGGGGGTGATCCACAGGGTGGGTGTGGATGGGATCCTCGGCCTCTTCTCACCATCACCTGAGCCGACCCTGCTGTTCACTTCGAGAAACCGCACGGCCGGGGATCAGCAAACAGCCTGTCACATGCCAATGCAGATGCCCTCGCTCTTGCTAACGGTGCTGGGGCGGTGGAATGTGTGTGGGCATCAGCCATCTCAGCCCTCAGCTGCTTCCAGGGCCAAATTGTCACTTTTTCTCTCTCTGCCCCTTTTTGGAAATAGCTTTATTGAGATAATTTACATAGAGTAAGATTTGCCAATTTTAAGTGTGCCATTTGATGAATTTTGACAGATGTATATAGTTGCATTAGCCCCCACTACAATCATGATACAGAACATGTCCATCACTCCAAAATGTTCCCTCATGCCTGGACTCTGTTACAGCTGATTCCCTCCCTCAGCCTCGGGCAAGTCGTGATCTACACTCTCCTTACTATAGCTTTGCCTTTTTGAGAATTTCCTATAAATCAGGATCTCCCAGCCCTGGCCCTACTGATACTTTGGGCTGGACGATTGTTTTGGGGTCGTCCTGTGCTTTGTAGGGTGTTAGAGTAGTGTCCTTGGTCTCTACTCCTACATGCCGGAGGCACTCTCCCTCCCCCAGGTGTGAGGATGATCCACGTCTCCAGACATTGCCAAATGTCCCCTTCGGCAGAATTGCCCCCAGTTGAGAACCAGGGATAGAAATGGAGCTAGGGTTTTTGTCTGGCTTCTCACTCAGCACAGCACTTGCGAGGCTCATCCATGTTGTTGGGCATGTCCAGAGTTTCCTTGTGTAGCCAAGTAATATTTCACTGTAAGGATACACCACAGTTTGTTTACTCATTCACCCATGAAGTGGGTTTTTAACCGGCATCATTTTAATGACTTGCCATTCCTCATTGAAGAGTAGCTCGTATAGCTCCTCTTACTGAAGGTGTAATTCGTTGAAGGCAGAGTGGCTTTTATTCATGATGGCGGCGCGTATCAGCCCCTTTGCCTAAGTTTCTTTTGTCCACTCTGGTGTCAAGACTCTCATTGCTTACCAGATAAGAGAAGCGTGTCCATGTGTGTAGACAGCCCTAGCTTTAACAGAACAAGCAGGAGAGCAGAGAAGCCAAGCCACAGGCATCTGCAGCTCTGTAGCCCCTTGACAGAGCCGAGCATGCACACCCTGTCTGTGCCCTCCAGGGCCTCGCTGATGCCCACGCCTGAGCCTGGAGCAGTGGTGCTGGTGTGGCAGTGCAGTTGAGTTCTCTGTGTCACTTAGGAGCTGCAATCACTTGGGACACCCCCAGGGTCCCCTGGGGCCCCCAGCTCACTTCCTCCCTCCCATCCCATCGGCCTGTCCAACTAGCTGCTCCTGTGCAGATCCCTCCCTGGCAGCTGTGGGCACTATGGGTGTTGTCTGACAGGCACGTACCAGGACAACTCATGATGACAGCTGGCTCCTCAAGTCCTAAGTGCGGCTGCCTCTGAGAAAACCCCCATCAGGCCCAGGCAGTAGCCACCACAGACCCAGGCACTGCTTCCAAGTACTGTGGACACATTGCTCTATGTATGTCCTGGAACATGGCTTGAGGCTCTGTCTGCTCATAATAAATGTGGGGCTCATGTCTTCTACTCAGATTCATTCCAGGACTCAGGAAGGAGAGGATCATTGAAGGGTTGCTTCCAAACTCTGTGTTGTACATTTGTATCTAGTTTTCCTGAATGTGTCCCTTTATTTGCCAGCCTGCTTCCTAGGAATTATCTTGTTTCAAGCCCTGGGCTTCAGTGGGGGTTCCTCTCCTCTTATCACACTGTATACCATGTGAGCCCCAGAGTGTGGCTGGGTTGCTGTAGCAACAGGGTCACACCCTGTTTTTCCAAAAGGCTTTTCTGGCAAATGCCAAAGGGCACTCTTTGCGTCTCTGTCGCATGCACACATACGCACTCTCCAGCCCAGGGAAGAACATAACCCTGCTTGTTTATGTGCCCAGTGCCTGCCAGGGCCCTCCTTGCTTTTGTTGCTGCTGCTTGTGAGATAGGACCAGCTCCCCCGAGCTGATTCCGCTCTCCACCAGCTTCTGCAGCCACAGGCTTAGCCCTGTCACCTATTCCAGGGCTGGGAGGAAGGAGGAAGTCAGGAGGAGACTTGAATTCCAGCCATATCTGGGTGTCACCTTTGCTTGAGGAGTCAGACCAAAGGAAGCTGCTGGGCAAAGAGAAGCACTCTGTCCCCTGCTCTTGGGCTGCACTGGCATCTGGGGTCCGCAGCAGGACCTCTGATCAATGTGTCACCCAGTCTCTGTTCTCTTGCCCTCACCCAAAATGGCAGGTTAGTGTTCTGTTCTTGGGGCGCTTCCAACGAGAATCCATTGACAGCAGTGAAAATCAGCACTTGAAGTCTTGTTTTTAGGACAGTGCCAGGCTCAACCCCTGTCTCAGAGTGTATTTGCAGTGTGCATAGGCTTGTCCTGCAGCAGCTGGACTGGCAGAGTCTGGGGGCTTTGTCCCCAGCCCTCCTCAGCACTGCGTTCTTTACAGTAACTGAAACTCCAGGTGGAGATCAAAGCACCTTATCTACTAAGCAAACATTAACCCAGCCTGGGGAGAGGAGAAGGGGCAGGCTCTGTGAAGCCAGCCCGGGCAGCTCAGCAGTGGGGTTAGCTGGGGCCTGCACATAGTAGGTGCCAAGTAAGTGCTTGCTGAGTGTTATTGGTGGTTTGTTCATTCTTTCTCTTCATCCTGCCCCACCCTGCCCTGCCTGCTGTTTGCTCATTGTATGGTCCTTTTCATGAGAGAGTATTTTGAAGAGCACAGACAGAATCTTAACAACAAACAGCCCATTGTCCCAGGGATCCCAAGCAGGATTGCAGGGCCAGGGTGGCCAGAAGCTGCTGGGAAGGAGCTGGAGAGAGCAAGGCCTGCTGGGCAGTGGCAGATCTCTGAGGAAATTATCCCCTGGGGGTTGTGGTTCTTCCCATCAGAATCAGGGCTTTTGTTCTCAGGAATGAGGTGGGTAAGAGAGAGTTGATTGGTTTGTTTTTAAAAGATTCTAAGCTAATAACTATAAAAGATATTTATGCACAAGGCCATTTTGGATGCTTTGGGAACCCTGAGTACTGTTTCTCCTGTAGCCTAGGCGGAGACATACCCAATGTAGGCTGGAGCTGGTTCACATTGTGAGCCTATTGTGCACATCTCTTCCCGGCCTTGGGTTCAGTGACTTCACCTTGGTAGCTTAAATTTGGCCATGGCAGGAGAATTTACACCACAAGAAATGTCAAATCATGCAGATCATGCACCGCCCCCCTTCCCCATCCCCACTCCAGTGACGCCTCCCCACTTCCCCATTACCATGGTGGTTAAACATTTACCAGCACACTGCTGACTCTTTCCTTAAAAGTCTACCATTATGAGCTGGGCACAGTGGCTCATACCCATAATCCCAGCACTTTGAGAGGCAGAGGTAGGAGTATGGCTTGATCCAACGGTTCAAGACCAGCCTTGGCAACATAACAAGACCCCATCTTTACAAAAACTTTTAAGATTAGCCAGGCATGGTGGCATGCGCCTGTAGTCCTTGCTATTCGGGAGGCTGAGACAGGATTGCTTGAGCCCAGGAGTTCCAGGTTGCAGTGAGCTATGATTGTACCACTACACTCTAGCCTGGGTTACAGAGTAAAACCCCCATATCTTTTATTATTTATTTATTTTTTAATTTTATGTATTTTATTTCCTTTCTTGAGACAGAGTCTCACTCTGTCACCCAGGTTGAAGTGTATTAGTGCGATCTTGGCTCACTGAAGCCTCCACCTTCGGGTTCAAGCGATTCTCGAGCCTCAGCCTCTAGAGTAGCAGGGATTACAGGCATGTGTAACCATGCCAGTTGATTTTGTATTTTTAGTAGAGACAGGGTTTCACCATATTAGCCAGGCTGGTCTCACTCCTGACCTCAAATGATCTGCTCACCTTGGCCTCCCAAAATGTTGGGATTATAGGTATGAGAGGAAAAAAGTTAACTGCTACATACTATACCCTCTACCTGGACTTTTCTTCGCTCAAGCTGGCACATGGCCCACCCCTTTTGATCATTCATTCTCAACTCAGATGACACCTCAGAGAGGCCACACCCCACACTCAGTTGTACTGTTTTCATAATGTTTATCCCTACCTGAAAACATTTTATATGCTCATTTTTTTTTTTTGTCCATGTCTGTCCCTTGTGCTAATCCCCCACCTACAGAATTTTTCCCTCTTCTCTCAACAGCCTCCTTTTCTGAAAGAGTTCGGAACATGTCGCCTGATGAAATCAAGATCCCGCCAGAACCTCCTGGCAGATGTTCAAATCACTTACAAGTAAGCATGAGGCTTGGCTACTGAGGCCGGATAGATTAAATAGCCTGGGTTACGTGTTTGGTTTGGTCTTAACCTGAAGAGATCATGGCAGGGAAAGGGACCGAGACGTCTAAAAAGAAACTGCCAGGTGGGAAGGATCCGCTTTATCTCCTATTAGCCTCATCTTGGGAGTTGGCTCCTACACCCACTGCCATGTCCCCTGGTGCTCCTCCAGCAGGGCAGCCCTGGCTTGCTCTCAGTGAGGTCCTAAGCAGAGGTGGAGAAAATAACATAACCTTCTCTGTGCAGCCCTGCTGGGCCAATGGGAGCTTCTCAGAAGGAGCTTTGCTAAGAAACTGAGGAACAATCAGAATGTAAAATAAATTACAGAAATAAAAAAACACAAGCACTTGTAAGTTTTCTATGCTGATTTATTTCTAAAATACTGATTCAGTAGCTTCTTGCCTGACAGAATGTGCAGACCTGACTGGAGATTTTGAAATCCAAAGGACTCGAAGCTTTTAGTGCAGTTACACTCCCTTAGTGGACAGCTGGGGTTTAGCCCATGGCTCTCCTTGTCCCTCTGTGGGTTCCCTTGTGATGAACAATAGAACAGGCACCAATGACTGCACAATCATGGCTCCTGGACCACCTGCTTCACCTTTGATCCTGGAGCTACCACTGGGTGCCTCCGACTACACAGCAAGCCCATGGCACCACCCTAACGGATAGATGATTAATGGGACCTGAGGCTAAAGAATGCAGCAAGCTGGAGGAGGGCCAGAGTTAGGACCGGGGATGCAGCACAGATTCTCTTCCCTTCCTGGAAGTCTCCTCCCATTGCTGAGTTGTCTCCCACCACCACCCTCCAGAATCACATCACCCTCCATGCCAGGCAACCAGACAACAAGCTCCAGCTTGTAAGGACAACTCCAGCAGCCTGCCAAGCAGAGACAGCAGCGACAGCTTCCGATGCTGAATGTGCCTCCTGATGGTGCAAACCATGCCACTTGAGCAAACATTTTAGTTCCTCTGGGTGGTAGAACTGATCTAATGGCCCAGGAGATGCAGCCAAGTCATCTGTAAGACATGGGTCCTCCTCAAGTTGCCGAGCCTTCTATATATGGCTCCCTCCATTACCCTGGAGGAGACAGCTTGGAGGAAAGAGGTTCTTCAGTCTTGGCAATTATATCACAGACCTCTCTACAGTTCAGCTGTTGCTCTGGTCAGTCTCAGTAGAAAGATGTGGCCTCTAACAAGGGGAATGGATCACCCTTCCTGATGTGTCCTAAATATTGTCACCTAGGCCCTTCAGGCCTGCCCACCTGCTTTTGCAGGTGCCTCAGATGTTTTCCTTCTGGAGAATCTATGTTTAACCCCCACTGCAGGGGAGACTGTAGGTAGATCTTGCCCTGGGCCAGTGCCCGCCTTACTGCCATGAGATTGTGGTGTCTTGGGCCTCTTCACTGGCACTTGTCTGTGCTGATGCCATCTACTTTGGGCATCATCTCCATGGGCTGTGGATACCTGTTGCACTGGCCACAGTAGGTGAGCCTGGATCCCTCTGGGTGGTTCTCCACTCTCCCATTGAAAGGCAGGCAATGACCTGTGGGGGAGTTTGGGTGAGAGATAAGCAGTCAGCCCTTGATGCTGTTGATAAACTGGTGTGGACCAGCCACCTGTGAGCCACCCCATAAAAAAGTTTGCAAGACCAGATCCAAAAAACTCTACTCCTGCCTCCCATCAAAAGGACATAGTCCGTCCAAAGTCTCCTCTGGGTCACAGTTCTGCTAAGGATTTGACCTCATGTTAAAATTTAAAACCAGGATTCAGTCCCTGCATATCAACACCAATGCCCTGAACCCTCCTTCGGATGATTCTGGAACTGATTCACTGGTTGGGGCTTTCTTCATTATTTTCTCCGTGGCTCCTCTGCTGTGATATTTTCACTGCTCACTATACTGTCATCAAGAGGCTGTCAGGAAACCTCAGCAATGGAAGCAGCCTGGTCTGAATTTATCTTACTTGTGTGCAGCTCTGGGCAAATGCAGGGTGGAGAAAGAATAGGTTAAATTTTAACATAAGGTCAAGCTGGGCTTTGCATGGCTCTGGAGCCTCACGTTCATGCCGCACAGAGCACTGCTGACCAGGGGCTGGGACAGTGGAGGGACCTGGGCTTCTGTCATACGCGCCCTCTGCTCCTCTTCCATAGGACAAGATCCAGAAGCTTTATGAACGAAAGATAAAGGAGGGAATGGATATGAACTACATTATCCAAAGGAAGAAAGAATTTCGGAACCCCAGGTAAGTTTCCCTTGAGTTGAGCCTGCAGTTTACTGAGTTATTAATGTTGACCTAAGGGCTAAGACGTTCCCAAGGAGGTGGTGCGGAAAAGCCCTGAGCCCAAACCATCACCCACACTTGTCATTACACTGAGTGCCTGCTAGACACAGCAGACTGCATTAACCCAGCCAGAGACTTGCCATTCAAGATTGAGATGAAACACATAAAGCAGTATATACTGAGACCTAGGCTGGGATGAGGGAGACCTAGCCGAGTTCTTGTCCCTTCTCTGAGCCCAAAGCACATGACTTCTCAAGGCCTCTGTCCTCACGGAAGGAATTGGACTGGACAATTACTGTAGGTTCATCTTCCAACTCTAAAAAGCTGATTTTTGCATGTAGGTGAGAGACCTTAGGACCAGAGCTGTGTCTGGTCTTACTCCATTTAATGCTCAAGCTAGTGGCATACTCAGGAAAGAGCATGTCCCTTGTGGGCCTGAGTGTGGTAAGCCCAACCCAACCATGCAGACTGAAGGTCAGTGAGACAAAACTTAGCCATCACCTTGACCCCATGCTCTTCCCAGCCCCCAGTTAACAGGTTCGTCTCCCTGGGAGGGTGGAGGACCATCAGGAAGATTGCTTAGAACCACTGAGCTGGGTTTAAAGGTTTTGAAGATTTTGTGTCAGCCCAGGGAGCTGGATGGTTCAGGTGTCATGCAGGGACGTGGACTTGTGCCTGCTCAGCACCTGTGCTATTCTTCCAGCATCTACGAGAAGCTGATCCAGTTCTGTGCCATTGATGAGCTTGGCACCAACTACCCAAAGGTGCGTCTGGCACATGGGGCTGGAGGGTGATGGGGACACCAGGGTCCTGTGTTTGTTCCATGGGATTTGACCTGCAGCAACAGAAAGGTCCATGGAGTGGCACCGCTGGTTGAAAAGCACAGTCCCCATCTCTTTGGTTTAAGTCCCTATTGTTCCGAAGTAGTCCGATAAAGAGATTTTGGTGGTCATCCTGGTACCTGGCCCCTGACAGGGCCATGTGTGGACCTGCTGCTCCTGTAGGCCCACCTGGGGGTCTCTGGACAGGGGCATCATGCTCCCGTATTCTTTAGTACTTACTGACTGCCCCTTGGCTAGAGACCAGGAATGACAGCCGAGCCCCGGGTAAGGGGATCCCAGGCCAGGAAGCTCCATAGAAAGACTCGGGCATGGAACTTGGGTTTCTGAGTCATTTGTCATCTAATGGTTCCTACTAACTGCAACTTTCGCCTTTTCCTTTGCAGGATATGTTTGATCCCCATGGCTGGTCTGAGGACTCATACTATGAGGCATTAGGTAGACTTTCATCCCTCCTCCCACATACCTCATCCGCCCACCCGACTGTCCCTTTATTTAGTCAGTTGGTTATCCAGATGATACATGTTTCAGGGTCTCCTCTACATCAGGCCGTGTTCAAGGGAGGGAGGGGCTGGGTACAGGCCTGAATGAGATAGACCCACCCCTGACTTAAGAGGCTTATGCCACAGCAAAGAAGACGGAACGTCACGCTAGTAACGCCAGCATCAATGAGTGTTGATGATGACAGAGATGCTGGGTACAGGGAGCTTTGGCAAACAGGGTCATCTAACCTGGCCAAAGGGACAGGAAGGCCTCGCTCGCTGCCGAAACTATTCAAGCTGAGGTTTGAGGAGGCTTAGGGGCCAGGCCGGTGTAGGCAGAATGCTCCAAGGCCAGTGGGAGCACAGCTTTTTTTTTTTTTGAGTCGGAGTTTCACTCATTACCCAGGCTGGAGTGCAATGGCGCGATCTCAGCTCACCACAACCTCCACCTCCTGGGTTCAAGCAATTCTCCTGCCTCAGCCTCCCGAGTAGCTGGGACTACAGGCATGCGCCACCATGCCCAGCTAATTTTTGTATTTTTAGTAGAGACGGGGTTTCATCATGTTGACCAGGATGGTCTCGATGTCTTGACCTTGTGATCCACCCGCCTCGGCCTTCCAAAGTGCTGGGATTATAGGCGTGAGCCACCGCGCCCGGCCGGCTTATTCTTAAGGTACCAGTTTGGGAGAACTGGAGGAATGTCAGAAGGCCCAAACCCCTAGACTATAGGTCCTGAGCCTGCAGCCCATGGGCCTATAGAGGTGCTTTGTGTGGCCTTCATGAATTTTTGTCTTTTAATTTGAATTCATTGCCAACATTTTATATCATAATCTCTCATTCCAGCTTCTCTCAGTCAGTAGGAAGGTAGTCTCCATTGGGCCTGTATTCCCCTGTGCGGCAGTTCACTGGAGCTCAGGAGTAGCTGGCTCTTCCAGATGCAGACGCAGGGCATGCAGCCCTCAAGCCCTGGAGTTGAAGGACCCTGCTGCGCACTGACCAAGGGCTGGTTTCATTTCGCCTAGCACAAAGGACACAGCCCAGTGAGAAGAATGCAGAGATCAGAGTAGGCACCCTCAGCCCAGAGCTGCTCCAGGGCTGCCTTGGTAACAGCTTTTCTTGTCTTCATAGCCAAGGCCCAGAAGATTGAGATGGACAAATTGGAAAAGGCCAAAAAGGAGCGAACAAAAGTAAGTGATGGCAGACCTAGTAGATGAAAACGGCAGATGTGCAGAGTGCGTGGGTCCTGCTGGCTGAGCCCAGAGGTTGTCCAGGCTGCCCCCCATCCTCACCCCATGTCATTACTCAGCGAGGCTCTGACCTCCTCAGCAGGGCCTGTGCACTGAGCAGCCCTGCTGGACTCATGGTGCTCATCTGCTGCCTTGCCCTTGGCATCTTGTTTGCTACATTGTGCCCCCCTTCTTCCCCCACGATTGCAGAGCCTTGGGGGGCTTTGTCTGCTTCGGGTCATGGGTGCCCTCTCCGACCTGAAGGGAGGGAAATAGTTCCCTGAGACAGTGCCAGGCCCAGCTTGCTCTGCTCGGTGAGTTTCTTGGCCTCCAGAGCTGACCCCATTGGCCCGCCTGGGTGCTGCCTATTAGGTCCCATGTTAGGACCCTGAGTGCTACTTGTTCCCCAGCAGTGTGGTCTGGGTTCTTCAGGGAGCATCAGTTTGGCTGTGAGACCAAAGCCTTGTCTCTGGGCATTGTTCCCTTTGTGACCAGCGTCCTGGAGCCGGGCATCAGGACACCAGCTCCTCCCACCTCTGGTTGGGCCTGACCATCCTCAAGCAGCTGCAGCCTCTAGACCGCTTCCCTCACCCCCAGGCAGTGGGGCTGTGGGCCTGGGCGTACTGGTGGCCCTCTGGAGGCACTGGCTGCTGGGCCAGGAATGTGGGAGCTGATTCAAGGGGATGATCGGGGTTTCTCATTCTTAAACCTTCATTGAATCTCCCTTCTCTCTCTTTCCCTCTCCCTTCCAAACCCCAGGCTTGTTGCAGGGACGTGTCTGCAGCGCCTGGGGACCGGAGCTGTCCTTCCCCTGTGCGGGTGGGCGCCGCCTCCTCCTGGGTGTGAGGAGGAGGGGCCTGGCCAAACGGTTCTGGGCTTGTGAGGTGGGGCGGTAGGTGGGGGGTGCTGGGATATACAGAGACCTGGTGATGCCGGGAGGGATCCGATACTGTTTGGAAAGTTTTTTAAGAGTGAAAAGCCCCTTTGGGTTCTTCTTAGACACCTCACCCTCCCCAAGATGGTCACAGCAGAGTTGATTTCCAATGCCTCCTTTGTGTAGTGCCAAGCTCCTGTCCCCCAGGAGCTGACGGATGGCAAAAGGCTGTGGACACCCAGCTTTGCCTGGTCTGATTCTCTTCCTTCTCCCTCTTCAGATTGAATTTGTGACAGGCACCAAGAAAGGCACCACAACCAATGCCACGGCCACCACCACTACCACCGCCAGCACAGCTGTTGCAGGTAGATTACAGAGATGCCCTGCCTCCTTACACACACACATGGAGCCTGGGATGGGCCCCTTTGGTTTCTGCTGCCTAAGCCCCTGCTGGCCCGCTAGGGGAAGGGAAAGAGGGCACCCGCTCCTTGGTAGATCGTGATCCTGACTTCTCTTGCTTTATCTCCAGATGCTCAAAAGAGAAAGAGCAAGTGGGACTCGGCTATCCCAGTGACGACAATAGCCCAGCCCACCATCCTCACCACCACGGCCACCCTGCCAGCTGTTGTCACGGTCACCACCAGCGCCAGCGGCTCCAAGACCACTGTCATCTCTGCTGTGGGCACTATTGTCAAGAAGGCCAAGCAGTGACCCCAGGGGCCACCCTAGGACTTGAAAGGACCATGCAACCCAGTGACCACTGCCCAATGGGAGGTGCCACTTTGTATATTTCAGGACTGGGAACTGCTCCTCAGATGCCACCTGAGAGGAACTTCTTTGTGGCATTCCATCCAGAAGGACATGCAGCGTGGGAGCCGGGCACTGTGGACAGGGTCTGTCCACGCACCACCTGGGGTCTGTTGCCCATTAAAAGTGCCGTATTTTTACCTCTTGGCATCTCAGATGCACTGCTTCTCCTGCATTCTGTTTGCAGGCAAATGTTGAAGCTCATATGTCCCCCATTTTGTTTGGGACTACTGCCTCAGGGTTGACAATAGGGTGATGGAGGCCCAGGATGCTGTTTGGAGGGGTGACCCAAGAGGTCGCCATTGTTACCCATATATGCCTCTGGCCATGGACAGACAGGAGACCCCGAGCCCCGTGTTCGTGCCGTCTGCCACCTTGATCACAAAACCCAGCCAGTTCTCAGGTGATGGCCAAGTTGTGCTCCCTTCGGTGCACTTGAGCACTCCCCACACCAAACCCCTTCTTGGACACACCCAGAATTTTGAAGTCAAGCCAGTTTCCAGAAGGACTGGAATGAGATCCCGACCTGTGCAGGGAGTGGGGAGGCGTCTGTGCCTGGCTAAGGCTGCCCCAGTCCCTCAGTGCCTGGTGAGCACAGCCAGCCAGAGCTGAGCAGCGGGGAGATGAATCACCTCCTGCCCAGGCCAGGCGGCAGCTCATTGTTTACGGGCAAGCCCTGCTCCTGGGAGGGCTCCTGCCACCCCACCCTTCCTCTGCATGTTATCTCTGCCCTACAGCAGCCCCTGGGCAGCACCAGTGGCCACTGGGCTCCCCGCCGGGGCTGAAACGGGTTTCCCAGACCGGGAGTCCAGAGGAGACCATTTACCCTTCATGATCTTTGGCGACTCTCCACTGGAGTGGAAGGGCTGTGTGTCAGAAGAAGGAAGCCAGGCTGTGAAGGGCTGTGTTGCTTTCAGAGGGTGGGCAGAGGTTTTGAAAAGTGGTTCTGAAATTGCAGCTAGTACTCCAGTGGGACCTGGGGAATATAAGGAACTTTGTGCATGAGGTTTTAAAAATGAAAATTAAGAAATCAAGTAATCAAGTCCACTCCCCCGACACACACACTTGGGCACTTCAGGAGGTCAGTTCTCACCCCTTCCGTGATGGGGCTTTGATGCTCTGGGGAGAGGAGCTGCTGTCCACTCATCCCCCAGAGGGACTCTGAAAAAGCTTCCTGCCCTGTGACCTCCAACTGGGGCCCCTCATTAGCCAAGGGCACTGTGGAGGTTTTGTGGGAGACAGCGTGGCACTGTGGAAAGGGTGGTAGACCTGGAGCCAGCACCTCTGGTCTGGATTCCCAGTTTAAAACCAGTTGCATGGTCTCCAGCCCTTCCCTCTGTAAGCCTGTTCTCTGAAATCACGGCTGAAAGGAACCAAGCTGGGACCCCTTGGACAGTGATAAAGCATTGTAAGGTCGCTGGGAGGAACCAGAGATGACTTAGCAAAAGCTTTATAAGCTGTAAAGTTCCTGTCAGTGTTTGTTGTTGGCTAAGTCCAATTTTTTTGTTGTAGACCAAGGAGAGAAGCAAACTCCTGGCCTGTGCCCTGTCTTGTGCCCTTTGTTGGAGGGGTGGGGTTGGCAGGTCTTTCCCCTGCTGGCTTTCCTCTGGGCGGCTCCAGCCCTGCCATTCACCTGTCCAGTTAAAGCAGTAATGACTGTCTGTGTCTCCTGCAGGGCCCCAGAGGTGGGGGGGCTGGAGAATGAACACAGGCTTAGAGTCGGGCAGTCCCAGGTTGAAACTGTTGTGCCCCTTACCAGCCTCCTGAGTTGGGTCAAGGTTTTTAATCCTCCTGGACTTTCATTTCCTCTTCTATAGAAGATAAAATGAAAATGGCTCTTGCCCACCTTAGTCCCATCAAGGATGGCCCAGAGGTGTGTGAACTGTTCCTGTTGGGGATGGATGGCCCACACACTAGGGGCCAAGTGTCTCTGCGCACCAGAGAACTCTGTCCACGGCTTCTACTGTCACCCACCCACATGCCCCCTTTCCTCTCTTCCTAGGGCTCTGATCTTGGGTGGGCATTGAGATTCATTTAGCTCCCCACCTGGCACATGTAGAACCCAAGGTGTGTCTCAGGTTTCTATAATTCCCAACTCTGCTGGGCAGGTGGGCGCTCCTTTCTCAATGCTCACTGCACCCCCTTGCTTTCAGGATCATGCCTCACTGCCTTGTAACCTCTGCCCACAAATGGGATGAGACAGCTCGTGTTTTCTAGTTCTCGTAAGCAGAAACAAAGTGGGCATAAATAATACTATGCCCCAGTGCCTAGCACGAGATGAGTACTCAGGTGACTGGGGGATGGAGGGATGGAAGGAGAAGTGAGTTTACTCATCTTCCAAAGGTGTGGTCCCTGCTCCTATGCTCACTGAACTGAAGTTTCCAGCCCACAAGCCCCATGCTCGGTGCATCATTAAAGCCTGGGGCTCGATTCCAAAGGGCTGCTGTCGATTGGCTGACTGTTCGTTGAAAATCAATGAAGTTCAGTGATAGTTGAAGGAAGGTTCAATATTCTTTTTAATTTTGTATGTATTTGGAAATCTCTATAATACATTTTTTAAAGGGCTGTTGAGCTGGGCACAGTGGTTCACGCCTATAATCTCAGCACTTTGGAGGCTGAGGTGGGTGATCCCCTGAGGTCAGGAGTTCGAGACCAGCCTGACCAACATGGTGAAACCCCAGCTCTACTAAATTAAAATAAAAACCAAACGGCCAGGTGTGCTGGCCCATGCCTGTAATCCCAGTTAGTTGAGAGGCTGAGGCAGGAGAATAGTTTGAACCTGGGAGGCAGAGCTTGCGGTGAGCTAAGATTGTGCCGTTGCTCTCCAGCCTGGGCAACAAGAGCAAAAACTCTATCTCAAAAAAAATCTCCAAGGATAGATTTGAAGGAGGAGAGATTAAATGAAAAGTTAAGTCATCAAACAATGCACGTAGTAAACTCTTGTATAAGAAGGGGGAAAATATACAAAATAAAAAATAACTGGGCGTAGTGGCTCACGCCTGTAATCTTAACGATTTGGGAGGCCGAGGCAGGTGGATCACTTGAAGCCAGGAGTTTGAGACCAGCCAGGAGTTTGGGGCCAACATGGTGAAACCCCAACTCTACTAAAAATAAATCAGCCAAGCATGGTGGTGTGCACCTGTAGTCCCAGCTAGTCGAGAGGCTGAAGCAAGAAAATTGCTTGAACCTGGGAGGTGGAGATTGCAGTGAGCCAAGATAGTGCCACCACACTCCAGCCTGAGCAACAGACGGAGACTCTATCTCAAATAATAATAATAATTGCCAGGTGTGGGGGGCATTCACCTATAGTTCTAACTACTTAGGAGGCTAAGATAGGAGGATCCCTTGAGCACAGGAATTGGAGGCTGCTGTGAGCCAAGATTTCACCACTACAGCCTGGGCAATAGCAAGATTCCATCTCTGAAAAATAATCGTAATATTAGAGGAAGGAGATAAAAGAATAAAAATAAGAAAAATCTCTAATATTAATTTTAAGTCAATATTATCTGAACTATCAATATGAAGTCAGGATTTAAGAAAAAGATACATTTTCTATCTGCCCATTGCAAGGAGCTAGGAGGTCCTCCTTTGTATAGTGGTGAGAAAAAAATCCTAGGGCCGGGTGCGGTGGCTCATGCCTGTGATCCCAGCACTTTGGGAGGCTGAGGCACACGGATCACGATGTCAGGAGATTGAGACCACCCTGGCTAACATGGTGAAACCCTGTCTCTACTAAAAATACGAAAAATTAGCCATGCATAGTGGCACGTGCCTGTAATCCCAGCTACTCAGAGGTTGAGGCAGGAGAATCACTTGAACCCAGGAGGGGGAGGTTGCAGTGAGCTGAGATTGCACCACTGCATTCCAGTCTGGGTGACAGAGCGAGACTCCATCTCAAAAAAAATAAACCTCCCAAAAGCAATGACACCCTAGTAGCATCCAGCACACAGTACTCACATCTTGGTCTCTAATACCTGCTGAAAGGAACCAAGCCAGGACCCCTTGGAGAAAGAGCTGATCCTGAAATCTAAGTAGGAGTGGGGCAGTTCTAGAAAGCAGGGAAGACACAGAAGTCAGTCAAAAAGGTCAAAGAAGCTAGTGTGAAGGGATCTCCTACTGGCCAGATTTGATTACATTTGATTGAATATGAAGGAAGAATGAGTTAAATGAATTTTTTTATTTTGTTTTGTTTTTGTGTTTTTGTTTGTTTTGAGACAGAGTCTTGCTTTGTCCCCCAGGGTGAGGTGCAATGGCGTGATCTTGGCTCACTGCAACCTCTGCCTCCTGGGTTCAAGCGATTCTCCCGCCTCAGCCTCCTGAGTAGCTGGGATTACAGGAACATGCCACCAGGCCCAGCTAATTTTTGTATGTTTAGTGGGAATGGCATTTTGCCATGTTGGCCAGGCTGGTCTCGAACTCCCGACTTCAGGTGATCCGCCTGCCTTGGCTTCCCTAAGTGCTAGGATTACAGGTGTGAGCCACTGCGCCCAGCCTACAATGAATTGTAAACTATTGAGCATATAAAAATCCATTCATTTATTGTGATAATTTGAAAAAAATGTACTTGCCACCATTAGACTTGAATATATCTACACCTTGCTCTGAAATTGATAACTGAGTGAGAAAAATTAACCATGTACACCGTTGATGGGATTCTGAAGTGGTGCAACTGCTGTGTAAAACAGTATGGTGGTTCTTCAAAAGTTATTTTTGTTTTTGAGATGGAGTCTTGCTCTATGGCCCGTGCTGGAGTGCAGTAGCACCATCTTCGCTCACTGCAACCTCTGCCTCCTGGGTTCAAGTGATTCTCCTGCCTCAGCCTCCCAAGTAGCTGGGATAACAGGCACCCACCACCACACCCAGCTAATTTTTGTATTTTTCAATAGAGACAGGATTTCATCATGGTTGCCAGGCTGGTCTTGAACTGCTGACTTCAAGTGATCTGCCCACCTTGGCCTCCCAAAGTGCTGGGATTATAGGTGTGAGCTACCAAGCCCAGCCTTTTTTTTTTTTTTTAGCCAAAAAGACATCAATTAAATGTCGAAAGGGGTTGGGCACAGTTGCTCACACCTGTAATCCCAGCACTTTGGGAGGCTGAGGTGGGCAGATCACCTGAGGTCAGGAGTTTGAGACCAGCCTG